CCTAAACCCTAAACCCGAAGCCCTACCGGAAACCCTGCACTAAGAGCTGAGGGTCGGGGGTGCTGCAGGGAGCTGCAGTTAGGTCGACGTGGAGATGGAACCCGGAGTTCTGGGGAACCTGACCGTGACCTACGTGCTGACCATCCCATATAACAGTGAGGACTCCGCGATTTCGGGGCTTAGGGTTTAGGGTTTACTTGGCAGTTGTAGGTTTTTGTGGTCTTCTGGGGGGCTTCAAAAAGGTGACGGCAGAAGCAACGGCCCTTCAGGCATACTGGCTGTTCTCTTTGTCGTCGCTGTTGTCGTCATCATGGTCACCATCGTCGTCGTCCAGGTAGCCCTGCTGTTTGGTGGTTGTCGTTCTCGTCCTCGTCGTTGCGGAAGCAGTGGTAGTTGTCGTCGGAGGAGCAACAACAATAGGAGCCGAAGAGCAGGCAGCCGTAGTCATATTCGTAGTAGCAGTCGTCGTATTTGCTGGTGAACTTGTTGATGGCAGCAGCATTGAAGACAGTTCGAGAGTGGTGTCGGTGCTCGCGGTGGCAGCAAGCAGCGGCAGCAGCAGTGGCAGCGACATCAGCAGCAACGGCACTACGAGGTCACTACGAACATGGCAACGAGAGAGGGTGTAAGGGCAGTACTCGCAGCTGTAACAACCGAAGTAATCGAAGTACTAGAATTACTAGAACAAGGGAAGCGATGGCAACATGGAGCAGAAACGTGGAAAAGCAAAGCGAAAGCTTTGGAGTGGTAGCAAAAAGTGCCATCATAGTAATGGTAGTATCCAAGCCAGTCTGAATGCTAGCGTGAGAGTCAGACAGCAAGAGTGCCTTCAATCTGCTGGTGCTATGAGTTCTGGCCGCGAATGGCTGTTGGTACTAGGAATGACGAGAATTCATGTAGGACCTCGGTAAAGTCGCGAGGAATCTATGAAGCAGATGATGTTTGCCAATGTGATGGTGATGACTGATGGTGATGATGATGGTGATGGTTATGATGGTGGTGGTGCTGATCCCACTTGGAGTCTTCGAGGTTGCTCTTTGTTTTCGCTTTTGCTGCAGTGGCTGTTGCAGTTGCTGCTGCCGTTGCTGTTGCTGCTGGCGGCTCTGGTGCTGTTGCTGTTGCTGTTGCTGCTGCTGTTGCTAGTGTTGTTGTTGCTGCCCCAAAAAGCCAAGCAGAAACAGCCGGGAGATTCTTGCAAACCCAGAGCCCTCTCCAAACCCAAAAGTGCGGGTTCTATGCCCCAAGCCACGCCAAGTTTAGGGTTTACGGTTTAGTGTTTTGATGTACTGAGGTCCTAACTTTAAACCCTAAACCCTAAACCCTAAACCCTAAAACCCTAAAAACCTAAACCCTAGACCCTGAAACCCGAAAGCCCTAAACCCTCTCTCCCTGGAATTTTCAATTCCTCCGGTTCTCGAACCGAGCCTTCGGACCCCTAGGATATAGAATCATAGATCCCTTAAAGAACCCTTCTAGAAACCATTTTAGAGTTATAGAGCCCCTATAGATCCCTTAAAGAACCCTTCTAGAAACCATTTTAGAATTATAGAGCCCCTGTAGAACTCTTAAACCCTTCTAGAAACCATTGTACAGATCCCCTATAGATCCCTTAAAGAACCCTTCTAGAAACTTTTTTAGAATTATAGAACCACTATAGAACCCTTAAGGAACCCTTCTAGAAACCATTGTACAGAGCCCCTATAGATCCCTTAAAGAACCCTTCTAGAAACCATTGTAGAATTATAGAGCCCCTGTAGAACCCTCAAAGAACCCAACACCTTGACAAGTTCGGCCCGGCACGCAGGATGGCACTCTCACGCCCAGCGTTGACCTTGACACGGTCGCGCGGTTCGTTTTTGGATCGATGGGTTTAGGCTTTAGGGTTTCGGTTTGTGTTAGTTCTACGGGCGGCAACATCTGGGAAATCATCTTCATATGTAGTGGTTCTGTTGCAAGATCCAAAACCCTTTAAACTTCAGTGCAAATTTGTAGTAAAGCCTATATATAAACACGCAGGCGTCGTCCACGAATCCTAGAACGCTAGATAGAGACCTAAACCCTAGCACCCGAAGTCCCAAACATCTAAAAACCCAATTCCTAATATAGGGGCCTTTATACTTGCCTATACAAGTTTTGGGGGTTCCTTATTACAATTATAGTATAATGGGCCCCGAAGCCCTATTCTGATTATTAAGGCCCTACATTACATGCCAACAGTTGGTCTGGTTCAGGTTCCCAGACAGCACAATACCCCTTCATCAAGGAATATACCTTAAATTATAGGGGTCCTAATAGTATGATTTAAGGTCTATTCCTCAACTACTTGGAGGTTCATGAGTAGTTATACGTGGGGTTATAAGTAGGGTAACTATAATTATAACCCTAATTAGGGGACTTATAACCCTACTTATAACTACCCATGAACCTCCAAGTAAGGGGTATTGGGCTCTCTGGGTTTGAGTTCTCACTCTGATCAGGCGGGGAAGGCCCGAGAAGGAACAGAGAACACGGAGTTGCGGGGGGTCTAGGGTTTAGGGTTTAGGGTTTAGGGTTTTAGGGTTTAGGGTTTAGGGTTTAGGGTTCAGGGTTTCAGCTTTCGGGTTTCTAAGCTGAGGTTTGAGGTTTTAGGGTGTTTGGGTTTAGGGAAAAATGTTCCTGACCCTGAACCCCTAAACCCTAAACCCTTAACCCCAAACCCTAAACCCTGAACCTCCCAAGGTCAAAGCCAAGCTCATGGAAGTGAATGCCAAGTCCTTCAACGAGATGCTGGACGCCAAGATGGACGTATATGTGGGCGACGGGAAGTACATGCAGGAGCTTGAGGGTGTTGGGCATAGGGTTGAGGGTCGAGGCTTAAGGGGCTAAGGGTTTCATAGTGTGGGTTGGAGGGCTTTACATAGCCGAACCTTAAGCCAAAAGCTCAGCACGCGGAGTTGCAGATTTTGAAGAGGCTTCAGCAGTCTCAGCTCACAGCGCACAGGCCGAACCGCAGGAGATTAGTTTTGATGGTGCTGGTTATTGTTTAGCAGTTTCGAGTTTAATTCGGGGTTTAGGGTTGTGGGGTGCAGGGTTTAGTGGCGGAGTAGGGTCAAAGGTTGAGGTTTCACACCCCAGGCCTCAAGCTTTTGACCGGGCTTGTTGATCTGTCCGTGCTGATCATTGCCGCTTTACCATTGCAACTCTTACTGAGAAGTCTTACTGTTCAGTAGTCTTTATGTGTGTAGCTTTAGGCTTGGAGCGCAGATGTCCTACTCCGCAGGAGGTGGTTAGCATGAAAGAGACGGACACGAATGCCGTAAACGATGCTGTGCCTTGCCTTGCACCGGCATAAAAGAGGCAGAATCCCGTTCGTCACTCAAAGAGCAACGTGTCAACGACCATGCCGCCAGTGCCAATGTCGTTCTTCGGAGTCTCAATTTGTCTTTGGCCCCTCCTTTCTAAGTTCACCTCACACCGCTTCGAGGCTGCAAAACCCGTGCGCTATGAAGCCGGGTTTCTGAACCCTACACCCTAAACCCTAAACCCGAAACCCTAAACCCTAAGCCCGAAACCCTAAACCCAAAAGTTTACACCCGGACTCCTTGACACTGGGCTTTGAGACTTTCTGATTCGGCCTGGGGTTCTTTAAGGAGGATCATGGGCCTTAGCAAGTAAGGTTATAGGTTTTAGGGATTGGTGTGTAGGGTTTAGGGGTTTAGGGGTTTAGGGGTTTAGGGGTTTAGGGGGGTTTAGGGTTTCGAGTTTAGGGGTTTAGGGTTTAGGGGTTTAGGGGTTAGGGTTTAGAAGGGTTTGGGGTTAGGGTTTGGGGTTTCGGGCCTCTAAACCTCAAGCCAGCACTTCTGACGGTGACAGCCAAACCTCAGACTCATTGTGCCTAGATGCTCTGAATCCTAAACTCTGACACCAAAACCGCTGAACCCAAAACCCTAAACCCTAAACCTCTAAACCCTAAACAAGAAGCCCTAAACTCTAAATCTTGATATCAGGAGTGTTTGCACTCTGAAGCTCTCTGATGTGGGTTTCGGACTTTTTGCGAGAAGTATGGGATTCTTGGAACATGGGTGTATCCTATTCAGGGGCCCTTCTACTAATTGCTGCTGGTACTAATCTGAGACTCCGATGTCGTGCAACTGTCCGATTTGTTGGAATGATTTTCATCGCGGTTTAAGATTTAGGGGTCGAGGGTCTAAGGTTTAGGGTTTTGGAGTTTAGGGTTCAGGGTTACGCCGTCTTTTTTGCTCAGGGTGTTTGAGCTTTGGATGTTGGCCTTTTCGCTCAGTAGCCCATGACAAGAAATTGTGGGCTCCTGCACTGGCATATTGTTTTTATGCATGCCGGTTGTTGTCGGTCTGTTTGTATGTATCTCTGCATGCAAGCATGTATGTGTGAATAGAAATACGTGTCTTTCAAGACTGCCAGCTGTCAACTGTAGCTTGCTGTCTTTGTTGTTTACCGTGTGAGCTGTTGGGCGGGTCTTGCATTGTTGGGATCGTGGGCTGCGCTGTCTGAGGTATCCAGGCATCTCTCGATTTTGCTGACGCTGGGCTTATGCCTGCTCGGCCGACTTCGTGCTAGCTGAGAGTACTTTTGCAGAGAGCTGGCTGATTCCCGGAGTCGATCTCATTACGAGACTTACAGCACAGCTGCCGCCCTGCCCACGCAAACGCTGTCGGCAAGGGGGGCACATTGCATGGGCTCCCCAGTTGCGCAGTTTTTCCTCCTGGTTCGGATTGTTAGGGAAGCTTTAGTCTGGTTCTTCGGCACTGGGTGACCTACAACGGTTAATACTGTCAACGAAACTTGAGCTTGCTCTCAAAAAACATGCGAAAAAGGAGTCGTGCCCGTGCAAGGCCGTCCGTGCATAGCTATAGCGTATACAATCCCTATGTAGTCGTAGGAAGTACTACCCCGAAGCCGTGCCGGGCGGATATTGACTGGGCTTCTGCTTCTGTAGGAACTCGTAACCCTTCTTAGGCCCTCAGCTCAAACCCTAAAGCATGCCCGGTCCATGCGTCAGGTCTGCCCAAGCACTGCCACTACCGCCACTACTAGGGGGATGACTACTGCGACGACGTCGACGACTATTGCTACCACTATTCTTACTACTGACAGCTTCATTGCGACCTCACGGGGTCGGGGGGGGGGGAAATTAAAGTCGTCCGCACTACTCGGTCCCCTCGCGCCACTCGCCCACGCGTGCCACTCGCGCCACAGCTCGGCAACCGGAACGAGTGGAACAGGTAGGGCACATGCGTGTGGAACGAGTTGGAACATTGATTCATTGGCGCCCCCAGAACAGTGCGACTGCACAAGGGAGGGGGGCGAGGAATTGGAGTCGTCCGCGCCACTCGCGTCACTCNNNGCGCCACTCGCACCACTCACGCCGCTCGCCACCCGCGCTGTAGACGAAAGGCATGGGTGCAGCAGGTAGCGTACAGGGCAAGCGGAACGAGTGGCGCCGCCACAGCCAGACAACAGGAGCGAGTGGAACGGGTAAGGGACAGGGTGAGTGGAGTGAGTGTGATTCATTAATGGCACCCCCAGAACCGTGCGACTGCACAAGGGGGGGGGACGAGGAATCGAAGTCATCCTCGCGTCTCTCGTGCCACTCGTACTACTACTACT